CTCAGTAGCGACTGCGCCTGCCTGGCCAGCGCAAGGTCCTGAGTTGGATTTCCTGCACACACCCTGGCCACCGCCACCCCCCAAAATAAAAGAAAGAACGAAGGGAGTGTAGTTAGGCGGAGCAGACACAGTTTTACTTATCTGAACAGTTTCAAAATAACAGGAAATGGAAAAAGATGCAGATTTGGGAAGCGTATCCTCAACATTCTAAAGGACACTTTTAATTTCATTCTATCTCTTTATTGTTTCCAAAGTTTTACTAAAGATAGCAAAAGAAAGAGCGTCCGCAGAAAGATTTTTGGGCCCAGTAAACTTACAAAGAGAGCCGCTTCCTATAGACTGGTTATTTCATACTGTAACCATGACTCGTGTCAAGCTCTGTTAACAGGTCGTAGATAAAAAGTAAGGACCATCCAATGCAAATGAAGAGGGAGACACTGAGGAGAGGTTCCAGGAAATGGCCCTCAGCTGTCAAAAGTTTGCAGTTCTTGGGGGCCTGGCGGTAGCTCAGGCCTTTAAGTGACTGCTTCCACAAAGCTGTCAGCCTCAGGTTGCTGGAGTTCGAACCTCACACCTCTCCAGCTGGCCAAAAGTGCCCTGAAGGCATTCGAGGAAAAAAAAAAAAAGTTTGCAGTTCTTGTACCAGCCAACGCTCTCTTCATCCTCTCATTTGTCTATCTCCGAAAAGGGGATCATAAACTTTCTTGCTGTCCTTAAACTGGAATCCCTTTTATGCACCCACAAATGGCCTCTGAAGAGTCTGCATTCTCCACCCAGGTGGAAATCCTGTATGACATTAAGCTGTTACTGCTTCTAAGAAAATAATCTCAAAAGTACTACATTTTGAGTAGTTTTCTTGAAAAGAGTGATACATAAGCTTCATATTATAGGGGAAAAACGAATGAAACCAATTTGCTATCATGGACAAATAAATGTGAAATAAAATTTAAATAGGAGAATATAAAGTCAGGCTCAGGATACTGTGGTTCCATCCCTAGATCCTCAAGCCTTACCAGACCTGCCCTGAAGGCATCCTGAGCTAGCCCCCAAGAAAAGAATATAAGAAAACTCAAAAGGGCCAAGTGCCCTGCATTTTTAATTCGCTCCTTACTTACATCTGAGAGCGACAGTTCCTGCGTTCTGCTCTGGGTACTGAGATGCGCGGGTTACGGTGCCACCAGGCCGCTGCTCTGGGGCTGGTTGTGTGTGAAGAAGGATCGAGTAGCTCTACGCGAGCAGCTGCGTGAAGACCCTGATGGGCAGCAGGACACGACACGCTGCAAACCAGCCAGTAAGCAGAGACATGAACTGGCAGCTCAGCCACTCCACAGGTGCCGACTGTGGCTTCGCCCGCCCCGGAATCCTCCCATGAGCAGACACTGACCATATTTACCTTGTTCCTGTTACCCCAGAGGCTGACACTTAGCCTACCAAGTATTTGGCTCTCGAAACATAGCTACGCACTGAACCACATCACTCTCATGAGAACAGATTTACTGGCTTGTGATGTTTCTGATGGGGTTGTCTTGAGAGCTTCGATCTCTGCAGCTGCCTTTTCCTGTCCTTTGTTTTTCATTTGTGTGTGGGCTTTCCTACCTGTTATCTCATAGAAAGACCCAGTTCACACATTTATGGCTGAGAAAACAAGGCTTAAGAATGAATTCTAGTATTAATTATTGAAACTGTCTTATTAATCTGTTCTGAAACTGTCTCATTGCTATTTGTTTCTCAATAGGATTAATTTAAAAAAAAAAAAAAATGAAGTCTAGCAGCCAAGCTCTGAGGGTAAAGAGCTGTACCTCAAGTCCTTGTGTTTTCCTTCAAGTTCCAAGTTCTCTCGACTACATCCCGTGTCCCGGCCCTGTGGAAATAAAGTCCACCGTGAACCCTTACCACTATTAATGTGTCGGTGGCTGCTTCCCTGAGTCCCATTGAACAGCCTCTGATGAATATCTCAAGCTGGGGATGTAGCTCAGTGGTGCAGTACCTGCCTGGCAAGTGTGAAGGTTGATTTGGTACCGAATTAAAATAAAATAAAATGAAATACAATAAGCTTGTCCTGATGAATGCAACTACTAAATAATGCAGATGTGTACTAATAAAATTTTTAATGCCCCTATTAAAGTGATTTAAGTTAATTTAGGCTAGAAAATTTTAGAGCTTTTATCTATTTACTTATTTATTTCTGCATACTAGGGATATGAACCCAGGACTTTCACACTGAGTTACCTCTTCAATCCTTTTTATTTTTTATTTTGAGGCAGAGTCTTGTTAAGTCACTGGGTTGCCCAGGCTAGCTTCCAATTTATGATCCATTTGCCTCAGCCTACCAGAGTGCCAGGATTACAAACATGGGCAGCTAACAATTCTAGGACTTTGGGATATAATTTGGAGACAGCTTAGATCTTAAAAAGAAAGAGAAGTCTTTAGGCAAGATCAGGTGCCTCTCCAAGACCCCATTTTCTCTTTTTTTCCCTGTTTCCATCCAATTTTCTTGGTACATTTTACTTTATACACAATAATCACATTGATCTTACAGAATTTTAATTTTCCCCCATGTGCGAAAGTTTTCGTTTTCATTTTTTCCTTTCCTCATTTTTGTCTTTTCCCTTCCTTCCTTTCTCCCTCCCTTGTTCCCATTCCCATTTGAACTTTTTCTTCTTATTTCACGTTGTATACATTTTGGTCCTCATTTGCACTTGTGGCTTCTCACACCAGAGAAACAATGTGCTATTTTATATATAGTGTGACACACTCATGCATGTCCGATTTATTTCACTTAAGGGTATGGACTCGAGATGCATCCATTTTCCTAGAAATGTCTTAAATGTATTCTTTAAGGAAGAGCAGTACTCTATGTACAAAAACCCCACTGTCCATTCACCAGTTGATGGGCACTTGGGTTGTCTCCAAGATTTGGCTATTACAAACTGTGCCAGCGCAAACATAGGTGTACAGATGTCACTGTGGTGTGATGCTTTTAATGCTTCTGGAAAGATGCCTAGGAGGGGCATGGTTGTGTCATGTAGAACCTCTACTCTTAGTTTTTTGAGGAATCCCCACAGTGATTCACAGTGGTATTACCAATCTACAGTTTCTCCAACAGTGAAGGTTCCTTTATCCCCACAGCCCTCTGGCATCTGTTATTGGCTGATTTCTTGATAACAGTCATTCTTTCTCAGGTAAAATAAGATCCCATTTTCTCATCTGAAAGTTGAAAGTAATGGTACCATTTCTTCATATTTGCAAGTCAGATCTAAACTAGTATACAACACTTGTTAAAGCTGTTCTGCAGCATACGAATCGCAGGTGTTTTTATAAATGCACAGTATATATCCAAACAAGCAGTGATATGGGTTAGGTTTTTGCCTGGTTTACACCCCAAAGGGAAGAGTAAAATGGTACAACAAGTTGTGGAAAGGGTTCAGCATCCTCTGCACACTCACACCAGGGCTGTGTGGAGTGTACATGGGATGGATTTTGTTTCTATTGAAGATGGCACATTCCCGGGGACAAGGCAGCGCCTGTTCAGTGTGCCCACCATGACAGTGGTCTTGGGCCAGCCGGCTTGTGAAGGAGAATCTGTTCTTGGTCCTTGCTGTAGGGGAGGACACCAAAGTATAGGGAGTTGGTGGGAAAATTGTATGAATCATATTTAGAAGTGCAAGTCAATGCCGAGATTGTTAATGACAATGGCAGTGCCTCTGGCTCCAGGGGCCTCAGGGGTTTCATGTTAATATTTTTTTCCTTTCATCTTCTCCATTTTCAAGATGGCAAATATTTATGATATGATCAGGAAGTATGGTGCATACTCAAAAAAAAAATACTATAGTGAAAGTTCTATGGCTATTAATCCTCCTCAAATTACTCTCCCTCATTTCAGAGGCATATAATCCCATGCTTAGTGCTACTTTCCAAGCAGGTTTTTTTTCTTCTTCATACTGGGATTGAACTCAGGACCCTACACTTGCAGGGAGGCGTTTATACTACTGAGCTATCTCCCTGGCCCTCTGGAGCAGGTCTGCAAGTCCTCTTCTATGAGTGTGTTTAATTGTACTGTCATGGATGTTGCAAAGTCCTGAGTTGGTTCCGAACATTTACAGCAGTTTCTGTCTCCAAGAAACATGACAGTGTGTCCTCCTGCTTTATTCAGCAAGTCTGGCACTGTGTGACTTCAGGCTCTTCCCCAAAGCGACCATGAAAGGTCTACATTTGAATTGATTCAGAACCTGAGGCAGTTCACAGCAGTGCAAATATAAACACACAGAAGGGTGTCCAGAAGTACTCTAGGAAGTGGGAAGCATGTAGAAATAAATGTATTAAAAGCAAGGAAGACTACTCTGAAGGCTATTAATGGCATTGTGTCCCTTAATCTGATTCTCCTTACCCACTCCCTTCCCCCATGGAGCCAGGGTCTTGCTCTGTAGTTTAGGCTGACCTTGAACTCACTGTAGTCCAGGCTGGCCTCAAACTTGTTTTAATCCTTCTACCTCAGCCTTCTGAGGGTTGGGATTGCAGACGTGCAATGCCATGCCCAGCTAATAAATGAAAAAAAACAAAACAAAACATAAAACCATTCACTGTACTTTTTGCTCACACCTAGGCACAGTTTCCCTTTCAGTGTACTAGCTTTTGGATATACCAGTATTGGCTGCTTGGGGCCATTCTAATGGGTTATGTTGAGGAAAGAACAGAGTACTTATACCTCCCACAACCAAACTGTAATAGCTCAATTATTCTAGGTCAACCAATCTAGTGCAGTGCCTTGACCTAGAGCTCATGGATTATAAATACTTAGCTTAAGTATTCATATATTTCCCATAAAGTAGTTGGCTAAGTGAAAATAATCATATTCACTAGCAGTGATGTAAATTTGGAGTGTCTCTGCTTGGCTGATCCTTGGTGGGTACTTCCTTTATTTACTGTTTGCTCTCTAATCTGTCATACAGTATTATGCAAAAGTAAAAAGCTAGTGGATAACTGATCTTTTTCTATTGCAGGTTGATGACCAAATGAAGCTGCTCCAGAACTGCTGGAGTGAGCTCTTAATCCTCGACCACATTTACCGACAAGTGGTGCATGGGAAGGAAGGGCACATCTTCCTGGTTACTGGGCAACAAGTGAGTATAGCGTGTGCCCCGCACCCCCCAGCATCTCGTTATTAGTAACGTTCGGAATGGCAGGAACGTAACTTGGTCCGAAGCACTCTTGTGCTTTGAAAGGAAGCCATTGGCTGCAAGTAATTTAGAAAAGATGACTTGGTGCACTCAGTTCCCGCTCCGATGATTACAGATAAACTTGTAAAAGCAAACATAATCATAAGCTCCTGCAGCCGCTTCCAGGCTGTGGGGTTGGAGAGTTCTGTTTCTAGGAGTCAGGACAGCTGCTCAATCAAATTCAGCGGTTAGCGCAGAGTTTTCCCCCATCAGGCTCCTGCATTAACCCACCATGTTGCTTGCCCACTGCTTCAAAACCTCACAGACTGTAGAATCCTCGCTCTGGTAGAATGATACTGGTGGAAGATGCAGTCAAATGTTACATATGGTCAAAACAGTTAGCATGAAGCCCAGCACATCCAGTTTTTGATTTGTTTGTTTGTTTGTTTGTTTTTGAGTTGGTCATTCAAAAAGAAAATATTAATACTAAACTTTACTACTTTCTTGATAGATATTCCTTCAATCCAGAAGGATTGTCAAACATCTGTTGTGTGCTAGTCACTATTCTGGAGATATGGCCTGTATCAGTGAACAGAACAACCTGTGTGCCCACATTGATAAGCTGACAATCAACAATTTAATAATAAAATACACCCAGCATGGTGACTCAGACCTGTGATCTGAGGACCCAGAAAGCTGAGGCAAGAGGATTGTGAATTAGAGGCCAGTTTGTGCTATGCTGTATAATGACAACTTATCTCAAAAACACAAAAGGAAAAGCAAATCCTGATCATACAAACCTGTGGTATGTTAGAGGCCAAGGTGCTGGGAAGGAGAGGAGAGGACCTACGAGGTTAGAGGAATCTGCACATATACATGTTCTGCCGTGACCCGTGGATCACAGTAGATGGTTCATGTCTATGATTTAGTTTTTGCAGTGCTGGGCTTCAAACCCAGGGCGCTACACCTGCTAAGACAGTATTCTGCCACTGAGCTACCCTCCCAGCTTCTCAGATGGCAGGCAGTGCTGACCAGAAGTGGGGGTTAGCCCTGCCAAGAGCAAAGTCTTGTAGGGCAGGAGGCAGCCACACAGATACATAATCTCAGAAAAGAGACAATCTATTCAATGGACCTAATTTCAGCTGCACAGCATGCAGGCAGATCCTCTCAGGTTCTTCCCCTTTCCCCTGTACCTGATGGGTTAGCAAAGCCCCACAATCGCTCATTGGCCAGGCCATCTCTGGGCAGGCCACCATGGCCTCATTCAGCGGCCATGGTGACTTCGGCCCTCACACACTCTGATCTTTTACATCCAGCCATAAATGTTTATGTGCTGTGAAACCACAGCAGTGCATATTCGGAGATGAAAAGCTGTCTCTACACCATTTGCTGCGCGTTATTAATAAATCACACTTTCCCAATCAACTTAAAGGCAAGCTCCCTTTCAGGGTGTTTGCAGGTTGGATCAATGCCACCATCTCCCACCGCTATCTGGTCTCGGTCCCAGCTTCTTTGAGCAAAGCTCTCTAGGCACGCTGTGCTGTCAAATTCTGCATAGCATTTTTATCCTGGGACCCTAGCGTGTAGAGGAAATGCACCCATCATCCGTCGGGTCATCAGTAACCACACCGCCACCTCCCCTCACCCTGCCCCACAGCCCAGCAGATAGAAGTCCAAGACTCGGCTCACAAATTAATTAAATTGCATTTCCTTCAGAGTTTTAAGAAATAAAATGGGCTGGGGCCCTTGCCTTCCTGCTTTTATTTTCTTTCATGTTTCATTTTGCCCTAAGTGCTGCCCCTGGGTAAAGGTAATTATGATTTACAAAGTGGAGAAATGTGCATTTCTCAATTGTCTTGCTTTCAAAACCAAGAATAATCAAGCACTAAATAGTGTCATAGTCTTTAGTATCAATTATTTCTGTTTTGTGTGTTGTATCAGAATGAAGTGAGGCACCCTTCTGATAGAAAAGTAGTCTTCCTGCACGTGTTTCCTTTCTCGGCTCCCTTCTTGCCTAGGGTGCCAGAGTTCTTCCCATCTAATCCAAGCAGGCCTGCTTGCCTAATGATGCCTTGAGATTAAACCCAGGGCATCATGTGTGGAAGCATGCACTGAGCTACTTCTCCTGCTCCCAAAAGAAGTTTGAAAACAGGGAAATACAGGTCTCTCCCTCGTATATGCCCACAGCGCCTACCATGATGCCGAGCACGTTAGGCATATGACTGATGCTGATTGTTCTCGGTGACAACTGTCACGACTCTAAGTGCTTACACAAGACTTGGGCTCCTCAGACACTCCATATCCCCATGTCTCCCTCAGACTCTCTGTGCCTTTCAACTTAGTCTCTTGCACCTGGAATACAACAGTGCTTCCCCATAAGAAAACACCTTCCTGCTTCTGCAGATCATTTTCATGCCATGACCTGGGGAGATAGGTGAACCCTGTGAACTTTGATTTTCTTACCATGCTAAACACTTGAAGAAGATAGGGTGGAAGGAAAAGCATATCTGCAAAAGAGAAATATTCTGGAAAAAAAAAAGTTATTTTGAAAAACAGAACTATTTGGAAATAATGGACAAGAGAGAAAGAAAACCACTTCTCTTTGCTACATTTAGAGCCCAAGAACAGCAACTGAATAGAGAAGAAACTTATTTTTGTCCCTAGCACAGGCTGCATGTTTTGGGTCAGGAAATGTCGTGTGTTTGTGTGCACTCTTGGGTGGAAAGTATCATTTGTAGTCTGGTTTGGAATAGGAGCACCCTGTGCCTGTGTCCCCATGCTGAGCTGACCAGCCTTGTCATCCCGAGAAGTGAGTAAGCGAGCCAGCACCTTGACCGACCCTTCAAGCTCCTGTGTCCTCAGCTGTCCTGTGGAGACCCAATGGTGGCCCACAGGAGAGAAGCGTGGGATGTCATCCTGTAATCACAAGTCATCCAACACTAAGCTGACACAAGCCTGCCCTACAGTATCATCATAGCTCTTTTGGAGATAAGGATGCAAGGTAAAGGAAGATGAGGTCAGGAACTCGAAGTCAAAACTCAGGCTTAGGTCAAGGCACTCTGGCACCCAGAATGCTTTGCAGATAGGGCCTCAGTGTATTGCCCAGGCTTATTTCAAACTCCTTGGTTCACATGCACCTCTTGCCTCAGCCTCCTGAGTGCCCTGCCCCTTAGCATTTCTATTCAGGCTGGCCTTGCCTCACACTGTAGCCCCGGATGGGCTCAAGCTCAAGATAATCCTCCTGCCTCAGCCTACTGTGCTGTAGGATTATAGGCATGCACCACCACTCCCGCTGAGATTTTGTCTGCCTACCACCCTCTGCTGCTTTTCTGCTAACACACAGGCCCTGCATAGCCTGTTTTTGCCACAGGCTTGTGGTTTGGTGTTTCTGTAGGGCTCATTTCAGTGTGTGAGAATCTCGATGGAACTTCCAAACAAAATAATTTTATTTCTCTTCTGTTGAAAATAAATGCATAGCCAGGTGTGGTGGCACATTCCTATAATCCCAGCACTGGAAGGCAGAGACCGGATGATGGCTACAAGTTCAAGGCCAGCCTGGATTACGTAGTGAGTTCAGAGGCACCCTGAACTTTAGAGTGAGACCCTCTTTCAAAAAACCAAGAAGAAAAGAAAGAAAAAAGGCAGGCAGGCATAAACTTTTTTGGGATTCTTTTTGGGTTTTACTATTTTGGGGAAGAGCATTGTAAACATACTGTAAGGGTCCCAGGGAGGTGGCTCAGTGGAATGAGCGCTTCCCTGGCAAGCACAAGGGCCTGAGTTCAATCCCTGGTTCCATAAAACAAAACAAAACAAAACAAAAAAACACTCTAATGATAAATTTAGATTTCCCAGAAGCAGTTTTAATGTGATTACTAATGATTGCTGTACCACTTTAGCAGTAAGGAAAAAATTAGAAATAAATTTTCCTGAGTCACTTTGGCTGACCACGCATCCCCAATCTTTTGTGGGTTGTTTCTGCATCAAGTGTGCGGCCAGAGTCTGCTCTGTTCCCTCCCATCCATTCTCTTAGATAAATAAAAGCAGCGAACCCCCTGCCACTTGATGTGATACTGTCCTCGGCTGGAGGCGTTGGTGATTCCTTTCTTTCTACATAGACAGAATCCATGGCTTCTCCCATCCAAGTACTAACCAGGCCCAACCCTGATTCTGAAATCAGACGAGATCAGATGAGATCGGGCGCGTTCAGGGTGGTATGGCCATAGACAGAATCCATGGCTTCTGAAAGAGTTGTGGAGTTGTGGGAGTCCAGAAATGGTCCTTTGCTTATATTAGTCAAAATTTTTGAATAAAGCTACAAATTTCAGTGGTGGAGAGATGGACAGAATATGTTCTTTCCTGTTGGTTTTCTTTAAGAAAAGCAGCACCAGCCTGTAGAGGTTACTAGAAAGCTGTGGTCCATGTTTCCTCATAGGGAAGAATCCTTTGGCTTAATTGTCAACCACCATCTCTTTCCAAATCATTTAAAATATTTGCTGATAAAGTAACTCATTAGTTATATTCTGGTTACTAATGTCATTGAAGCCTGTAATTTGTGTTTAGTGTGTTGCTTTTTGAATTTGTAATTTTATGACATTCAAAGTTTTTGTCTTTAATTTTCTGCACAATGCCTTTTTTTCGTTGTTTTTAATTCCACTCAAAGTACATAAAAATAATTTGCCTTCTATGCTAGGGTTGATTTTTATAATTCAAAAAAAAAATGAGCTTAAAGTGCAGCTGAGTATTGGAGCATGGGGCTAGCATGCAAGGGATCCCCTGGTTTGGTCTTCAGTATGACAGAGAGAGAGGGAGGAAAGGACAACAAAGAGGAGACAGGAGAAGAGGGGAGGGGAGGGGAGGGGAGGGGGGGGGAGGAGTGGGGGAGGGGCAAAGGGGAGAGAGAAAGCCAGGTGATCACTGCAAGTTCAAGGCCTGCTTGGGCTGCATTTAGGCTTCATAGTAAATTC